TTCGAGCATAGTGCTCCCAACAACTACCGGCATAGGTGTGACATGGACATTGAACATGACCTTTGTTTTGTCCATGTTCATCTTAAGACCTAAGGTTACAAGGTATTATAACTTAATTTAAAAGGCTTGTTTGTTGCGATTATTTTTGAAATTAATTACCTAAGTACATCGTATTATTAACCTCTGTATGCCTAACTGATGGCTTACAAATACGTGTTAGGTACTAATACCCGTATACAAACGTACTCATACCTAATATACGTACTCATACCTAATATACGTACTCATACCTAATATACGTACTCATACCTAATATACGTACTCATACCTAATATACGTAATCATACCTAATATACGTACTCATACCTAATATACGTACTCATACATAATATACGTACTCATACCTAATATACGTACTCATACCTAATATACGTACTCATACCTGATGCAGACGAAGTTAGAATGTCTCATTGGTCATTGCTAACTAATATGTTCACGCTCTACAACTTGCGTGTCACAATGCAATGCAATGCTACAAATGTACACTGTTTTTATGAGAGTTATCCTTACCATACATACCTTAGTCGAGCAAGTCTGAGCAGTTTCTAGCTCTAGTTTTAATCGATTTTCTAACGTTATTGTTCGAAAAGGACGGTATTTATCCAATATTTTCAAGGTATTATGATAGACATCTCAGACTTTTGACGCTACTTTACGTATCATCATCATCATCATTACAACCCTTCACAAGTCCACTGCTGAACATAGGCCTCCCCCAAGAAATGCCACAAAGCACGGTCCTGAGCCACCTGCATCCATCGACTTCCTGCATATCTTACCAGGTCGTCACTCCATCTAGTGGGGGTCGCCCTACATTACGCCTACCGGTACGAGGCTGCCACTCGAGAACCTTTCTTCCCCATCGGTTATCGGTTCTTCGAGCTATATGGCCGGCCCATTGCCACTTCAGCTTACTAATCCGTTGGGCTATGTCGGTCACTCTGGTTTTACTGCGGATATCCTCATTTCTGAGTCTATCACGCAGAGAAACTCCGAGCATAGCCCTCTCCATAGCTCGCTGAGCGACCTTGAGCGTCCTCATACGGCCAGCAGTGAAGGACCACGTCTCAGATCCGTAAGTCATCACTGGCAACACGCACTGGTTGTACAATCTAGTTTTTAGAGATTGAGGTATACCTGACGAGAAGATGTGTCGTAATTTCCCGAACGCTGCCAAGCCGAGTTGAATCCGTCGATTGACCTCTCGGTCGAAGTTGTACTTACCTAGTCGGACTATTTGTCCCAGGTAAACGTACTCGTCAACAACTTCGAGCATAGTGCTCCCAACAACTACCGGCATAGGTGTGACATGGACATTAAACATGATCTTTGTTTTGTCCATGTTCATCTTAAGACCTATCCGTTGGGAGACACCATTGAGGTCATTGAGCATAGTGCTAAGGTCCTCTAGCGATTCTGCCATAAGGACTATATCGTCGGCAAATCGAAGGTGAGTGATGTACTCGCCATTGATGTTAATACCGTATTCTTTCCAGTCCAGTAGCTTGAAAACGTCTTCCAACGCAGCGGTGAAGAGTTTCGGGGATATAACATCACCCTGTCTTACACCTCTCTGCAGTTGGATAGGTTTCGAGCTCTGGTTCTGTACTCGGATAGCCATCGTAGCCCTACTGTACAAACACTTCAGCACTTCGATATACCGACAGTCAACTTGGCACCGCTGAAGGGACTGTAGCACCGCCCAAATTTCGACGGAATCGAAGGCTTTCTCATAGTCCACATACGCTAGGCAAAGTGGCAGATTGTACTCTTCAGTCTTCTGTACAATCTGCCGCAGGGTATGTATGTGGTTTATGGTACTGAAGCCTTTTCGGAAACCGGCTTGTTCGGGAGGCTGGAAGTCGTCGAGTCTGCGTGCGAGACGATTCGTAATGACTCTCGAAAACAGCACGTAGACGCGGCTCAGAAGGGAAATCGGTCTGTAGTTCTTCAAGAGAGCGTTGTCGCCTTTCTTAAAGAACAAGACCACCGCACTTCTGCTCCACGCCTCTGGAGTAGTGCCACCATGGAGGACGGAATTGAAGAGCTTCTGAAGGACTTCAAGTACCGGGGTTCCACCCGCTTTCAGAAGCTCCGCTGTAATTCCATCCTCGCCTGGGGCCCTGCCGTTTTTAAGGTGCTGGAGAGCCATTCTAATCTCGCTTAGACTGACGTCCGGGATATCATCGGAATACGAGCAAGAAGAATAAATATATTATACTTTACGTATAAGTTTTGGGTATTTTTAATGATTTCTTGCAAGAAAATATCGTGAAGAAAACTGCACGTCTAGGTAATTTAATATTTCGAAGACGTGAAGTCCGTCTGGAGTTCTGAAGTCCCAATTACGCCATACTAGAGGCGTGTTACACCGCACAGTGCGGTGAACAAATTGCACCATAACGTTCTCAGAAGGAGATGCCGTGTAGTGTAGTGGCGGTGTAAGAATATCCACCACCCCATATCATACCGCGGGTGTCGTACGAGGCGACAGCTGGAAACAAATCAGGAGATAGCAGCAGCGTCTTCCTAATAACGACTAAAATAAAAAACTGCGGTGGCCAACCCGCTTGCCAAGCGTGGCAACTATGGCAAATCCCCCTTTGAGGCAATCTGTGGAAAAGCTTATGTTCAGCAGTGGACTTTAATAGGCTGTAACGGTAACGGAAATGGCTCTCAGAAGTGTATTTTCAATGCTATTGGAACGTGTCTGATTTAAGCTAACAGGGAAGAAAAAAATGTCTTATATCCATTTTTCTCTAATAAGTTTTCTTGATTTTTTGACGTGACGACGTCTAATAAATCGATGAACGCCGGCTGAACGCACGAAAAAGGATGACTCATTGTAACGTTACGCTCATTGTAACGTTACGATCGGAGCGAAAGCTGCACGAGCGAGCGAAAGGCACGATCGGCTTGAGCGTAAAAGTAAATTTATCAATTAAATTGTAGATTTCAATTCACTCCTTCTTTGTATCCACACGAAATAGTGATAATTCAATAACAATGATTAAATTTTATTCATAAAAGTAAGCTATCATTTCATCAATGTTTTGTTATAATGTTGTCATGTTAAACTATCGCCCATAAACTAACTGTACAGACAACCAATTTTTTAACAGTTTAGAGAAGCAAGAAAGAAAGACATTTCTTCACTATTAGTATACCCATCACACGAATAAAAGGACATTTGCTCATAGAGCGGTTTAGGGCTACAATTGATGGGGTGTGTCTAGCCAATGAAAAAGTTATGTATGATTTATTGTAATGCTACAGGGTAACCTACTACTAATTCTGCCATAACCATAGGTACGCGAACGTCTGATTGTGCATTTGTTTTACTTCTTCAAATAGTTAACCATATCTTCTTAATTTATTAGAAAACTTTCTAATGTGACGGAAAACTGGACCTAATTAATGATTAGTTACGACTGAAGCACAATAATTAAAGTGTGACGGAAAGAAATCTTTTAAAAATAAATTGCAGGAAATCATTGCTAACGCTGAAAGAATGTAACGGTAGCTCTATAAATTATTACGTTTAGGTGTCATAACCATTTTAACAAAATAACTGTCACTAAGCACTGGAAAGCAATTTTATAGGTGTTACTTTTTTATAGAATATGGCTATAAGCACACAGTCCACCTGATGATAAGTGGATGCTGTGACCCATAGAGATCTAAACATCTATCCTTGATTAAGAATCAAAACGCAGATGCGTTGGATGATTAAGATGGAATGCCTCGTTTCCAGTAAAAAAGAGTCTCCGGATCTATACACTCACCATACGAAACACAGCAGTCTTCTGAACTACTGATATTTTGTGAGAGCGTGGTCCTTCCCCGGTCGAGCCGACCCATTCGTGCTACAACCATAATATAGCTGCAGCGTGGCTCTACCACGTACAAACTTATAAGTAATTACTTAAAAGTAATTGAGCCAAGCTACCAGTTTCATTATCGCTGCAGCATGAATTGGTTTCGCTCGACCGGGGAAGAACCGGCAATATGGTGTTGCTGAGCCCATACATGGCTTAATAAAACTACTCAGGACGTGTAAGTACTATGTAGAGTCCCAGCTATAATTTAAATAGAATAAACTTTTGATTTTTAAGTCGAGTATAAAACTTACGAAATCTTATCACCAGCTACTATAAATTGTTATACCCTTACGAGAGGTATGATCCCTTTTCTCCAACACCTTCTTACTTACTTCTGCCGCAAAAAATGACTGCGTGCACCGCTGTGTTCAGGTCTGAAGGGTAAGAGCCAATGTAATTACAGGGTATCAGGCATTGCATCTGAGTCCTCAGAGATGACGACATACCTGTAGCCTACTTCGTTAGAAATCGGCTGCAGGTGTCCATGGATTGCAGTTACCACTTACCATCAGATGGACTGTTAGTTCGTCTGTCACTCCAGCTTATATAAAATATCGTGATCGATGGCGTTAGGACTAGCGCTTATCTCGACGATCACATCATATCCATGAATTTTTTGTTTAACTTCTTAGACTTGCAAATTTCTTTGTGATCTAATTTTGTAACATTTTGACTCCAGACCTACTTTCGGTCACGGCGGTCAATCTCAACTGAGACTAGCCATTTGCGCAGAACAGTAATCAAGTGCCCTCAAGCTCAGCTCAGAAGATAGTGGCTCTTCCTTCATTCGCATAGTCCGAAGGGACGGCAATTCGACACGACCGGAGAGATCAGGCGCAGGATCAACGGTTTTACGTGCTTTCTGAGGCACGGGGTAAAACACCGCCAACTTTCCTGGCTCCAGGCTGCTACTAAGAATTTCTTGACACGAAAAACCCAATAAGTAACTGATTTTGGCTCGACCCAGTATTCGAACCCAGGACCTCATGATTAGCAAGCGAGTTTATGATCGAGGAAGTACCTGAAGTCTGACGACAGTACCTACTTAAGTTCACTTACCAGTATGTATGGGATATTTTCCTGTCATAAGCGCGGATCGTGAAGGTGTGCAGATCGGTGTTACATAGTAGTTCTGCAACACCAGACCCGACCACGCCAACGCGTCGATGTTCGGCGTCGGGATCTGATTAGAGCCGTGAAAGCCCACATCGTTCCATCCCTGGAAAATACCACTTTTAATGAGGATGACCGGGGACTATGAATAGGACGGAGCAGTAAATATTATATTTGTACTATGTCCCAGATACAAAAACACGCACTGACACTGTGATGTGATATAATAAACATTACACAGGGCATAGAAGCTACCGCTCGAATGACATTTTAATGGGTTTTCTATTCTAAGGTTTTTGTATAAAATTTCATTCATCCATCACAGCCTATCAAAGTCCACTGATGAACATGGACCCCCTGTATATAGCCCAAAGGGGGGTTATTTGCCACAGTTACCATACTTAGCAGACATGTTGGCTAACTCAGTTTTTAATTCTCTAGTTGTTATTAGTTATTAGTAGCTAATAACTAATAACATTTAGTTGTTAGTCATTAGCAGCTAATATAACTGCTATAACCTGTGTAATGTACATCAAATTATTAGAAAGGCTGCTGCCCGTCTCATAATCACATTTCCCTCTGTCGCTTCTTACAACACCTGCGTGACGATATGAGGTAGTGGATATTCTTACACTACTACACACTGTAAAATTTAATATTTCAAAATTTACGCTTCGATTAAAGAAGTGAGATCTGGCTTTTGGATTAGATTTCGAATTGCTAGTAAAACGGCCACAACACAACATGTTTAAATACCATTTGTTGTTTTTAAGCTATTGCATAGCTTCTATCGCGGGCCTTGAGCGCGGAGACCGAATCCAGAAATTCCGTAACGAAAAAAACCTCACGCTCCCCACTCCGACGGGCACGGAGGTGTGGCGTTGAAAGCCGTGCATCGTCTAACGTCGTTTTAGTTCGGCAGAATTCGGCTCTCGGCAGAGTTCGACACGGTGTTTGTGTGCGTGCGACTGACGTATGCGTGTACACTAGCTGCTAACTGAATGATAAAAATTCCTGAATAACCTACATGTATCGTAAGATATTAAAAATATTTTAAACAATATTAACTTCTCATTTATTCAATAAGAGAAAAAAAATTGTTTTCTTATCGGTCACCACTCTCAAAAAGTGTAACTTGATTTAATATCAAAGACTTAACTGCATAAATAAAATAAATAAATAATTATAATTGCATAAGTTGATAAAAAATGCTATGCAATAGCTTTACCGCGGCAGTCACCGAGTGCCACACGTATTTTTTTTTACATAAAAGGCAACAGACCAGAAAGAGTAGTTTAAAAATAAACTTACATATTATATAGTAATTAAACACTAACGTTCCGGGGTGTGCACTACATTATTCCATACTGATAATTGTTGGGTATTTGCATGCATTAAAGTCGCGATTAGGCGATAGAGTCTACCATTGTAAAAGCACTAAATATGTTGGACACCAAAATACTTCCTTTTTTACGGAGTAGAATCGTAAAGAAACAAAAAAACATCTGCAAGATTGTTTATATTTATGCCATGTAAGTGATATCAATTGGATTATTTAGAAAAAAACTTTATCTTACATTTAAAGTACCAATCAACTAAAAGGCACTACAAATTATTGAAAAACAAAAATAAAAATATAAAATATTTAGAATAAGAAGCCAACTCTACGAAAATAGGTAAAAAATTTACTCACTTTGTCTCTGTATAGTTCCTTTACTCATGTAGTAAAATTATGACTTTTTTGTTTCCCACTCTCTTTTTATGTATAATTTCTTTTATACTACCTAAATATTTTCATAACCATAAAATTAGTTCCAACTAGAAAAGTTAAAATTATTAGTACCTACTTTCTCACTTATTACCTTATCACTTCAGTCTATATATTTATGTTTAAATGTTATAATGCACTTACCAAATCGTCAGCGATGATTAGAATAATGTTAGGTTTGGTGACTTCGCCCCAGCACAAAGACGCCAATGAAAGAGTTAAAAGTAAGCGCGTCATTCTTTCACTGCGTCCAGAGAACGAATGCTGATTGCTGACAAAACAAAATGGGTTGAGTTATCAAGAGGAGAGCTCAACAATGTCGCATGGCGCCGCTAAGTTGACTAGGGTACCCATCTTTACAGTATTACTGGGGACACTTTGATTTGTTTTTATAATTTGGTTCAAATTTTAACAACATATTTACTACGCAAATTGATGTCGTTAATATAATAAAACAGTAACGAAAGAAAAACTGTTCATTGAGTATTTTCGAGAAAAAATAAGTGGCCTTTGTTAGAAAAACGTAACTGATGACAAAAAATGATTTTTTAGAATTTTTGTCTGTTTGTCTGTGTGTATGGTACGGCTCACGCCAAAACTACTGGATTGATTGAATTGAAATTCAGCAAAAATGTTCTTTGTAAATCAAGCAAGGCTTTAGGCTACATATTATAACGCCGTATGTTATAGGAGGTAAGCAGTATTGATTTTAAAAGGTTTTTCTTCGTAAGTGAAGGCACAAAATAATTGAATGCACAAAATAACATATTATTAGTTAAAATAAAAATAAAAATTTAACACTGGGAACATAATAATCACGCTATTTTTATAAAGTAGCAGGGCAGTAATATTATAAATTGCAAGGGAATAGCTGTTTAACAATATGTCAACTACAAAAAATTTAGCGGTAAGGTCAGGCGACCGTTTACCGCATTAAATGGTGCGAGTTTAAATCCCGTATTGTTTCGTTAAAAAATCGTAATTTTTGTTTAATTTTTGCACTTTTTATGTGCATTAGGAAGTCTGAGAACTTTACATGTCCTATCTAATTGCATGGAGAGTTTCACACCAATATTACTAAACAGATTGATTGGTGGTACAACAAGTTACACTATCATGAAGTCAAGTCAAACTTCAAGACAAACGTCAAGCTAAACGCATTTCTCGTTGTTCCACACTTTCCTGAGATCTAGAAGCAGTAGTGCGGACTCGTTTAAATACCAGTCGTAATTGGCGCTGCGTGCTAGTTTCTGCGGACAAACTTCGAAACGCTCACGGTTAGCACCTAGCCGTTGTTCACGCTCTGCGTGGGTTCGAGAGAAACCACAGATACTACAAACTAACCTGCGCATCTTAGAAACCCTTGAGTTTCGAGACAGATTTGATCTTTTTCTAAAAGGCATAGCTAAAATTCCTTCTTAATCCGATACTAACGATATTCAAAAACAATTAAAAGTAATTGAATAAGTACGTAAGAATTGCTAGTAAGTAGAAAATAATAATAATTCGCAGGAAATTTAAACACATCAACCACAGCACAGACAACAAAGGTAACTCCCGTTTCTATAGGATGAGAGCGGCCCATCGGCACCTATAACATCACTTTTTGGGAACGAAACCATAGTGCGATCTAGCTCGACGCCAACGGTATCTACAGTAGGTAGTAAACGATAAACTACATATTATTTACAAATGAATTAATTAAATTATGAATTAAAACTAAATTGTCGTTAATTTAATAGACAAGTACATTATTTTTGCATTAAAAAAATATGGTAACAGCAGCAAGGAACAAAACTAATAATTACATACTTAAATCAACTACCTGCAACAAATGTGCTTAGTAAGATATAACTTAGAACCAAAAGTTTGACTTGACTTCATGATAGTGTAACTTGTTGTACCACCAATCAATCTGTTTAGTAATATTGGTGTGAAACTCTCCATACAATTATATAGGACATGTAAAGTTCTCAGACTTCCTAAAGCACATAAAAAGTGCAAAAATTAAACAAAAATTACGATTTTTCAAAACAATATGACGGAATTTAAACTCGCGCCATTTAATGCGGTAAACGGTCACCTGACCTTACCGCTAAATTCCCCGTTGACATATTGTTAAACAGCTGTTCCCTTGCAATTTATAATATTACTGCCCCGCTCCTTTATAAAAATAGCGTGATTATTATGTTCTCAGAGTTATATTTTTATTTTAACTAATAACATGTTATTTTGGGCATTCAATTATTTTGTGCCTTCAATTACGAAGAAAAACCTTTTAAAATCAATACTGCTTACCTGATATAACATACGGCGTGATAATATGTAGCCTAAAGCCTTCCTTGGTTTACAAAGAACATTTTTGCTGAATTTCAATTCAATCAATCCAGTAATTTTGGCGTGAAGCCGTACCATTACACATAAACAGACAAAAATTCTAAAAAAATCACTTTTTGTCATCAGTTACGTTTTTCTAACAAAAGCCACTTATTTTTTCTCGAAAATACTCAATGTACAGTTTTTCTTTCGTTACTGTTTTATTATAAGTATAGAAGATGTTATAATGCACTTACCGAATCATCAGCGATGAATAGAATAATGTTAGGTTTGGTGACATCGCCCCAGCACAAAGACGCCAATAAAAGAGTTAAAAGTAAGCGCGTCATTCTTTCACTGCGTCCAGAGAACGATTGCTGCAGGAAAACGGGGGGTACACTTCCATACTTTAGGTTGGGGTTCAATAATTTGCAAAGACACTAGTGCCATCTTGTACTATATCCCCATAAACTTTCGAACATTAAGTTCTAAAAGGTGCGCTAGATGGCGACTGCACCAATTCTGGAAATGGCAAGTAGCAACTTTATATGACATAATGGCTACCGACGCTGAGCAAGTTGTTGTTTTAAGTTTATAAGTGATTTTCGGTTGTTGCTACAATAAGTTTGGTTGAGTTGGGATTAGCCCTCTGTTTCTTTGTTGTCTGTTTAGATTTTCATGCTGGAATTACATTGTATGTATGTGTAGTGTTGTGCGAAATAGACGCTTTCATTTATCATTTCGGTAACCCGGTGGACATATGTAATTTGGTTTGGTGTTGTATTTTGCGGAATAGACGCTTTTACATCGTGTATGTTAAATATATATAACAAAAATAAATGTTAATATTACTGAAATCTACAATAAGTCTTTAATTGAACCCTAATCCCTTAAAATATAAATATAACCGCCTATAGTATAGATAGCTGTATATACATAACTACATACAGCTATCTATAGTCAACATGATATTGAGATTAGTTCAAGGGATATGATACCAGGCGGCGACACTATTCATATTGGGTGACAAAAAATCCTAGGAGATGGCTCTCTATTTCTGTATATATATTACTCTACTCTATGGATTGCTGACAAAACAAAATGGGTTGAGTTATCAAGAGGAGAGCTCAACAATGTCGCATGGCGCCGCTAAGTTGACTAGGCAGACACTATTACTGGGGACACTTTGATTTTTTTTTAATTATTTGGTTCAAATTTTAACAACATATTTACTACGCAAAATGATGTCGTTAATACGTTATAGAAGATTTGAAGGGCGTGGTAAGTAGATAATAGTTTAAAAAATCAGAAAAAATAACGGCCCCCCTCCCCATTCCATTTTAGAAAATTTAAAAGATAAATAATTAGAGAAATTTATTAAATAATATCAAGATATATCAACGAAAACATGAAAAGAAAATAAATTTACTTAGGAGGGCAAAATTTAATTTTTTTTTATAGAAGAGGGGGCAAACGAGCATGCGGCTCACCTGATGTTAAGTGACTACCGCCGCCCATGATCAACCGCAACACCAGGGGAATCGCAGGTGCGTTGCCGGCCCTTTAGAAGGAGTAGTAAGCCTTTTCTTGACAATCCGGAATAATCGCCAAACAAAATCAAAAGATGCAACATCTCTTCGCAGTGCCAGTGAATCGAGCCGATCGGAAAGCACTCGGTCGTCGACGATTCGAGCCGTTCTGCGCTGGATGCGGTCAAGTGAAAGGAGCTGGTACTGGGGAGCCCCAGCCCAGAGATGGGAACAGTATTCCATGTGCGACCGAACCTGCGCCTTCTAAAGTTGCAGACGGTGTGCCGGCATGAAATACTGTCCCGCTCTGCTGAGCACGCCAAGCTTTTTAGAGTCCAATTTGGCCTTCTCTTCCAAGTGACCACGAAACTGCACGTCACTCGATATGTCGACGTCGAAGATTCCGATACTGGCTGAGGAAACAAGGAGAGTGCCTTGAAACTGAGGAGATACGAGAAGGGGTTCTTTTAAAAAAAAAAAAAATCTGCAAGAAAGCTGGTGATCCAATTGCACAATGTCTCGGAAAGCCCGTAGGAAGGGAGCTTCGAAAGAAGCGCTTTGTGCCAAATCCGATCGAAGGCCTTCGCAATGTCCAAACTAACGGCCAATGCCTCCCCCTTGGACTCTACTGCCTCCGCCCATCTGTGAGTTAGGTAGACCAGAAGATCACCAGCTGACTGTCCACGGCGAAAACCGTATTGGCGGTCACTAATCAGCTGGTAATCCTCAAGGTACCTCATGAGCTGGCAGTTTACAATGGACTCCATTGTTTTGGAGAACAAGGAGGTGATGGCGATAGGCCGGTAGTTGGACGGGTCTGAGCGGTCACCTTTTTTTAGGGATCGGATGGACGAAAGCCATGATTTTGGGACTACGCCTAGGGAGTAGGAGTACCGGATAAGATGCGTTAAAACCGGTGCCAACTCTGGAGCACACGTCCTCAGCACAATTGGGGGGATTCCGTCAGGCCCACTCGACTTGTGGATGTCCAGGGAGAGGAGTGCTTAGCGAACAGAGCGCTGTGTGAACTGCACTTCCGGCATGGAGCACTCACACCGCGGGATGGTCGGCGGCGTACTCCCCCCGTCATCGAGAATCGAGTTGGACACAAAGAAAGAGCCTAGAAGACCGGCTTTCTCCTTTGCGGTATGGGCCAGTGAGTCGTCCCCCCTGTGCAGAGATGGAAGAGATGGCTGACAGAAATTCCCCTGGACAGCCTTGGCGAGAGACCAGAATGCACGGGTTCCAGAGGGAAGGCGAACTAGTTTCTCGCCAATTCTGCCTATGTGCTCTGACTTTGCCTTGGCAATGACTCTTTTGAAGGTCCTAGAGGCGGAATTATACTTCTTTTTTAGAGCGCTGGTGTTTACATCCCGGGACGCTGATGCGTCAGCCCAGGATTGGTAGCACTCCTGCTTATAGCATGATGCTATTTTACAGGAGCAACCAAACCATGGCTGAGATTTGCCTCCAATGGGCACCACAGAGGAAGGAATAAAAAGTTCCATACCCTGAAGTACCACATCAGCGACAGAATCCGCAACAACGTTGGGATCGTCCGGCGAGAAGCAAACCCGCCCCCAAGGGTAGGATGCAAAGAAAGACCGTATCCCATCCCAATCGGCTGACCTATAGTGCCAAACACGGCGGCAGCCTGCAGAATGCAACTGTGATTTCAGCGTGAGTGGCACCACACTCCGGACAAGACAATGGTCCGAGAAGCCTAAAGGGGCGTCGACGGAAATCTGATATCCGTCCGGGTGAGAGGTCAGCAGAAGGTCCAACAGGGAAGGTGCATGATCCTCCACATCTGGAATCCGCGTAGGCGAAGTAACCAGTTGTGTCAGACCATATGCCAAGGCAAAGTCATGAACAGATCTCCCCGCATGATCGGTTAAACGTGAACCAAGCCATTCGGCGTGATGGGCGTTAAAGACGTCGAGGATCACGATCTCTGCGGAGGGGATCTGCTGTAGCAACGAATCTGTAGCCATTTGGACGTGGTCGAAGAGTCGGTCTGTTTCGGCATTACCGCTATGGGACCTATAAAGGCACCCGTAGACGCGCGGATGGTCGTCGCTCTCTACGCGTAGCCAAAGGGTGGACAGGTCCGAACCTTCAAGTCTGCCGAGGCGTCGAGAACAGATGTCCTCTCTGACTTAAACGCAAACTCCAGCCCGAGGCACAAAGGAGTGTTCCAGTTTGTACCCCGGGTAGGAGAGATACGAGACATCAGCCGGAGAGGACACCTGCGTCTCGGTCAGAAAGAGCAGAGCCGGCCTCGCCGTCTCGAGATGGTAGTGGACGGCGTTTTGGTTAGAGTGAAGTCCCCTGATATTGCAGAAATTCACGGACAGCGTGGCAGGGGTCGCCTTGGTCTTGTTGCTCCGTTTGCCCCGAGCAGCTGTAGTCTTGAGCGGAATTCCCCCCCCCCCACCTCAAGAATACGCGGGGCAGCCTGAGCACCCACGCTCAGAAGTGAAGAAACATGGTCGTGGATGCTCAGCGAGGGATTCTCCAGGGGTGCTGGTACCCTCCTGGGGTAGTCTATCATTATTTAATTCCGCTACCATGTTGATGCGGGGGGGGGGGGATTTGGGCCTCCGGCCACCTGCACTCACCAGACGAAACGCGGAAGCAGAGCTTCCACTTCACGCCGGTATTCTGTGAGGTCGTGGTACCACCCCGGTTTGAGCCGGCCCATACGTGCAACAGCAAAGCTGCCGCGTAGCTCTACCACTGTTAAAAAAAAAGTGAGATAAGCTTAAAATAATCTATCATTGATTTGTTTAACTGTTGCAAAACTCGACTAATCAAAACGCGAAGATATTCTCTTTGCCCTAATAGATGGTGAAATAATAATTCTGCTAAGGTACTCTGGTACTCTGCATTTGGAAGAAAATTCCCTCTTGAACATGAGCGTCTTCCAAGTTGCTATTTCTAAATATTTTAAATATTTAGAAATAGCAACACACATTATAACTATACCACGAATGGGACGGCCCGACCGACTAAGCATGAATCCATAATTATCATCATCATCATCATTACAACCCTTCACAAGTCCACTGCTGAACATAGGCCTCCCCCAAGTAATGCCACAAAGCACGGTCCTGAGCCACCTGCATCCATTGACTTCCTGCATATCTTACCAGGTCGTCCCTCCACCTAGTGGGGGGTCGCCCTACACTACGCCTACCGGTACGAGGCTGCCACTCGAGAACCTATCTTCCCCATCGGTTATCGGTTCTTCGAGCTATATGGCCGGCCCATTGCCACTTCAGCTTACTAATCCGTTGGGCTATGTCGGTCACTCTGGTTTTACTGCGGATATCCTCATTTCTGAGTCTATCACGCAGAGAAACTCCGAGCATAGCCCTCTCCATAGCTCGCTGAGCGACCTTGAGCGTCCTCATACGGCCAGCAGTGAAGGACCACGTCTCAGATCCGTAAGTCATCACTGGCAACACGCACTGGATGTACAATATAGTTTTCAGAGTTTGATGTATACCTGACGAGAAGATATGTCGTATTGAAATAATACTAGTTTTTACGGAATTTATCGCGTGTATTTAACTTTTTAATTACCCGACGTTTCGAACGCTTTTACAGCACTCATGGTCACGGGCAGGACTGAGATGTTCAATGTCCATATGTCATAGTTAACCGCGGTTACCATAGATTAAAATTTAACTTTTGTTCCGATCTATGCAGTATGAACTTATAGTAACTTGAAGTCTTGCAGTTGTGTGGTTGGGTTGGGATTTAATTT